GAGGGAGAAGCAGGCTTCCTACGGAGCAGGGAGCCCGATGTGGGGCTCGATCCCAGGACCCTGGGCTCATGACCCGAGCCAAAGGCAGACGCCCAACGACTGAGCCACCCAGGCGCCCCACAAGTTTTGCATATGTCTTTATTTTTTTTATTTTTATTTTTTTTTTAGTTTTGCATATGTCTTAAGGAATGTACAGTGCCAGCTGGAGGAATAGGCCACTGTCGAATCTGACTAAACACAAACCCATCAATAAAGAAATTAAAAGATGCAAAATAATGTAAAACGGAACAAAATCAAGGATATGAAACTAAAGCAGATTTTTTTAAAACCAGTATCTAGGTAGACCCTTTTCCTAGACAGTGTAACACTGTTATATACTTAACAATTCCTTAAAAGAGAGAAATTACTCCTTCTTTTAAAATAAGAAGTCATGCGGCATCTGGGTGGCTCAGTCGGTTAAGCGCCTGACTCTTGGTTTTGGCTCAGGTCATGATCTCAGGGTCGTGAGATCAAGCTCCATATCAGGCTCCATGCTCAGTGAGGAGTCTGCGTGAGGTTCTCTCTCTCTGCCTCTCCCCCTGCTCACGCTCTCTCTCTCTCTCTAAAATAAATAAATAAATCTTTTACAAAAAATAAATGAGAAGTCATGGTGAATAATCTGCAGGATTGTTCAAATTGGGTTGCCCTAAAATGGTATTTGATTTTAAGACATGTAACCTCCTTGACACCCTGGTCGCTGTCTGTACCCCTCCCCATGAGCATGCAGAGCACTGTGATAATTCACCTGTGTCTCCCACCTGAGTCTGCTGATGCAAGGACCACGTTTTACTGATTTTTGAAGCCGTGCAGCATGGTGGTTGAGTGTGACCCCTAGAGTTGTGCTCTTGGGTCTGTATCCCAGCACTTCTACTTGTGGCTAGTGTGACCTTGATTAGTCCCTTACCCTTCCTGGGCCTCGGTTTGCTCATCTGGAAAACAGGGATAACAACAGTCTCTCCCTCACTGAGTTGCTCTGGGGATACAGACAACCCTCACAACGCACCTAGCACAATGCCAAACAACTGAAAGGCTCAATAAAAACTATTACAATTTATACATTAATGTCTAACATAGTACTTGGTTCATCAAGAACAGAGTGTGAAATGAGAACATGAATTCTTTCTCATCCTCTCCTTACTCCTGCAGCGCTTATTATTCTGTAATTACAAATGTGATTCTGTACTTGCAAATGTCAGGTGTGTATTCTCTGGGTACATCTTTTCTCTTCAGCTCAACAGTAAGCTCCTCGAGGTTGAAGGCAGCGCCTACTACTCTGGCCCTTCTCCCCAGGGCGGCTGTCCACACACGTGGGCTGCCTTTGCACACTAGCCGTAATCACGCTGCATGGCTCTGGATTCCACCTAACCAGCAGCCGCATGTCCCCCCGGGGTAGAACTGTTCTCGTTCATTCATCCATGGCAATCCAGGCATTTTATGTTATTCTGACAGGTCTGAGCTTCCCCAGACCCCTCAGCTGATTTTTAAGATGGTCTGCTCTTCCTTTTTTTTTTGAGAGAGATTTTTAAATAATCTCTACACAAAACATGGGGCTCCAACTCACATCCCTGAGATCAAGAGTCACCTGCTCCACTGACTGAGCCCACCAGGTGCCCCAGTCTGCTCTTCCTATTAACTCAGAATAGAAACATTTTTGGCAGGGGGTGCCCTGGTTGGCTCAGTTGGTTAAGCATCTGTCTGCCTTCGGCTGAGGTCATGATCCTGGGGTCCTGGGATCGAGTCCGGCATCGGGCTCCCTGCTCAGTGGGGAGTCTGCTTCTCCCTCTCCCTCTGCCCCTCTCCCTGCTCGTGCCCTCTCTATCTCTGGAATAAATGCTAAAAAAAAAAAAGAAACATTTTTGGCAGTACCTGCCTTAAAGGGTAGCGCTGCCTCACTGGGACAGGGAAATGGCCATGGACGCTGTAAAGATCTCATCGTGCTGCTACCCAACTATAACCAAGTGGACCTTGACTGCCGGGAATCTTCAACTAATCCAAATGTTCCAAAGAGGAAAATGGTTTATAAACCAAACTAATCTAATACATTTGGTCAAAACCAGCCTTCCAGGGAACTTCGGGGGTGCAGTGGGGGAATGGACCGAACCCTCAGTAAATGTCACTTCTATGGATCTAAATTCAGCTTCTTACATCCTTGTCACTTGAGTCCCGACTTACTATAATCAAACAGCATGACAACCCAAAAGAATAACAAGATCTTCCATCGTCAAAGATTTAAGGACATTAAAAGGCCATACGGCATGGTGTGCGATGCACGGACTTAGGGCCAGACTACCACGGTTCAAATCCCAGCTTTGCCGAACGCCAACGGTGGGACCCTGACGAGGTCCCCAAAATGAGCTACATGTCTGTAAAAAAAGGGATGACAGCAGCACCTGCCTTGAATGGCTTTTGTTTCATATGCGTTGACAGAATTGTGCTAGGCGTATGGTAAATTCTCCATAAATACAAGCTAGTGTTACTATTTTCATGTCATCATGTGCAGTATGTCCAAACGTAGTTACGATTTAGAACAAGTTCTCAAATCCAGCTCTTCCCTGCGTTCCCTGCCCATCCACTGGCTCAAGTCAGAATGCAGAGTCAATCTTGTCCCCCTCTCTCCTTTTTTCCTCATTCCTCACATTCAGGTGGTCTCCAGGAGCCAGGTCCCTCCAGACTTCCACGATCCTACCTCTCAAATATCTTACCCTTGTCCACCTCTCTCTTCCTTCTGTCCTAGTCTGGGCCAGTGGTTGCTGTCTTGCCAGGGCTGGTGACCTCCCTGCCACTCTTCTGACCTTCTTCAATCTGTCCTTCAAGCGGCTCTAACAGCTTTCTAAAGTGTAGATACGATTAAATCATGCCTCTACGTGACAATTTTCTCTTGGCTTTATTACGCACTGTAAAATAAAGTCCAGCTTCTTGAGCCTGGACTTTAAGGCTCCTTACTACCTGGTCCCAGCGTGCTCTTCCTGCTTGCTCCCCCTCAGCTACACCAGAGTCACACCCTGCGACCCCCTCTCCCCTGGATGCTCTTTGTGTCTCTGGCTGCCCTGTTCCCTCTGCCTGTAATGTTCCTCCTTGGTTTCCTGCCCATCCAACTTCTAATTACCTTGTGAGACTTAGCTGAACGTAAGTCAAAAGTCAGTGCCTGGTAGCCAGTGAGTTCAAGAAAGTAGACTCATGTATTTGAGACTGATTTTTAAAAATTTATAAAATAGGTGTTTTAAAAATTTTTACTTTGGTAAACCAGAAAACCTAGTTCATTAGAAATTCCCTAGGGCTCATTTTATGTTTGTGCTTAATATATACTAGAAACTTAATAGATATTTTTCTCATTTAATCTTCGTATCAATCCTGTTGGTTTGACATTATTACACCCATTTTAGAGATGGAGAAATGTGTATTAAGTAATTTGTCCAAGGACACAAAGATAGTAAATGACAGAGCTCAGATCTGAACATTGGTCTGCCTGGTGCTCGCTGGAGCGGCACATACACTGAACACTGGCCTATGACTCCCAAGCCCAGGGATGGGACACAGGTAACCACCATGCTTCGCTCCTTCACGTTGTTCACCTGGCATGTTTAAAATGGAATGTTGGCCCTAATCTGACTTTGGTGTAAACGCATTGCCTTCCTAACTTACGCGGTGGTTTAACGTTTATGTTCTGCTATTGGGTCTGAATGTCGGCTCCTAGACGAAGGAAGTTAAATAGGTTTCAGTATACCACCTAGTGGGGTATAAAATGCAATTACACTTTTTGACGAAGAAGCTGTTCAACCCAGGGGCTTCCAGCTGATCTCACCCTCTCGTTCACTCATTATGCACCACCAGCAAGCATCTGCTGACTGCCCACCACATGTTTGACACTGTGCTAAACTTATTTCTCATCTTCTTCCAAGAACTTCTTTACTCAGTCTCACGAAAGCATTTCGGCACACTGGAGTGCTTCTAAACCATAAGCTGAAAATTTCTGTTTTAGGATAAACGAACTAATGGTTTTCACTGGTCTGTTCTCTCCAGAGACACCCAGGCTCTTGGCCCCTGTGATTGAGTTTGGCCTTTTTTAGTTACTCAAGAATAGGTCTGCTAATACCTATAAAACACAACACATACACACACACACACAATTCAGTAATTCCAACTTTTCAGAGTCATTAAAATAAATACCCTGTCTGGATTGCTGGCATTTTCCTGGCACTAAGTGGTAACCATGAACACAGGAAGGGCTAATCTGTGATCCAGAGTGGTAACCCATGACCATGAGTGTTATGGACAGAGCTGAAGTCCTCACCCCCAGTACTTCAGTATGTGACTGTATTTAGAGATAGGGCCTTTAAGGAAGTAATTAAGTTAAAATGAGGTCGTTAGGGTGGGCCCTAATCCAATATGCCTGGTGTCCTTGTAAAGAGATTAGGACACAGAAAGAGAGAGAGAGATACCAGAAACATGCACATGGAGACACAACCATGTGGACATGCAGGGAGAAGGCGGCCATCCGCAAGCCAAGGAGTGAGGCCTCAGAAAAAAAGAACAAACATGCCGACACCTTGATCTTGGACTTCTAACCTTGGGAGATGTGAGAAAATACATTTCTGTTGTTTTGTGGTATTTTGTTATGGCAGCTCTAGCAAATGCAATCATATTGATGAGAACAATCTGCAGATCCCACCAGCATCAAAACTGATGCTTGCGGGCTGCTCTGGTCAACCAATAATTTTTAAATTTCTCCTATGTACTAGGCCCCCAACTAGATGTTAGGAAACTATACATATAAGGCTTCAAATTCGTAGTGCAAAATGAGAATGGCTGACACATTTCTTCCTCTGAAAATGTGTCCCTGGAAAAACCCCAGTCACCATGAACTTGTGAAGAGAAATCTCACTGTCCCTTCTCCCCAGGAGCCCATAAAATTCAAGATACAAAAGCTACCTTCTTCTATAAAGACACCTTCTAGCAAATAAAATTATCTTACCCAATCCTTCCAGTTCTTGAACTACCTCTTTCCAAACAGGCTCGATGTGGATACAGCTAAAGCACCAATCTGAGGTGATCTTGATGAGGTAGGGTTTCTTGAAGCTATCTGGAACCACTTCATTCACGTAGTGTGAGAAGTGCAATAAATACTTCTCATCAATGGAGTCCCGCCGCTCCGAATTAAAAGGGAAGTGAAAAAAGGACTCATCAAAGTAAAAATTCTCATGGAAATGCCGGAAGCGATATTCCCGCTGTTGCGGCTGCTTCTGGTAGCCCTGGTTCTCTCCGGCATCTCCATAGTGATCGTAATTGGACCTCTTTTCTTCATTGGAAAGAATCTATAAGGAAAGACAACAATAGGAAATCTGTGAAATGGAAAAAGTTTCACCCCAAGGACTATCCTGTGAGCAGCATGGAAGACACAGGAAGAAAAATGTTTAAAGCTATAGCACGGCTCGACATTCCGCATGCAGTCTCCGACATGCCAGGAAACTCCTCTCTCAATAGAAACGTTCAGTATTTCAAGACCAAAAGACTTCAGTCCTTCAGATATTCGCGTTCATCTTGGCTTTAGAGATTTTGAGTTCTCAGAGTACTCGACACATCAGTAAAACAAATAAAACTTAACATAATGTTGACCACAAAAAAATGGCCTAGGTCATGCCACTTAAGTTGGAATAACTCAAACCGAGATAGGAAAAGCTGCGAACACCAAAAAGTCGCCACAGAACTGAGTTCAGTGTCTTGTACGTTGGCTTTGTTTTACTCAGAAATAACTCTGAAGTCTACACTTCGAGAAGCTGTTTTAGGATGATGTGCCATTCTATGAGCCAAGCGCTGTCTCTCGAAGAGCATTACCATACACAAATCAGGAAGCCACGGACTTATCTTTTGTGCACATTCTAGACCAAGCTACTTAAGCTGACCTGTTGGAAAATTGTTGAAAATTTTGTGTTTACATGTACCTGTAACCTTGTGCGACTTTAATAAATACAGGCACACCAGTCTTTCTTTAATAGAAGCTCTAGTATATATGCTGCTGAGGTGAGCATGTGATAAAAGTTCCTACAAAGGAAACAGAGACCTACATTTAGGAATTCTGAGAATTCTACAATTCCAATTAAAGCCTTTAAAATAGGCCAGTTTTTTTGTTTTGTTTTGTTTTGTTTTTAAGGGCTGAATTATTCAGGCACCAATTTCAACATATTGGATGTGGCTGAATATGCTTTCTCTACCGTCATCTAGAAACTGGGTCAAGGGCATTGGGAGCGTGCCCTTTCTGAGAGGTCTTTACAAAACTGGCCACTTAAAAAAATATTTTATCAGAGCTAATGGATGCATCACAAGTTTGACATGATACCTCATAAGCCTTGCTAATTTGGATGAACTTGTCTTCTGCTCCAGGATCTCTGTTTTTGTCAGGATGCCTGAAACACAAACGGGCAGGCAGTGAGCGTGGATTTAATGTTTTACACACAATTAACATCTTGTACACACAGTTCACTACATCTGAGGCAAATGGAAGGCCATTCCTTTAGGACGGTTTCTTAAAAATAAATGGCAGAAGCAATCACTTGCTTCACGTGACCATAATAATTAAGTGAAACTTTGAAACAGGTGTTTCTACCCAAAGCACTTCAGCGGGGCACATTTTCAAAGCGCCAGGGAGTTCGGCAGCATCCCACTGAGGAAGGGTGTGCTGTAGGCATGTCTTTACCTGGTTCCTAAACACTGCTGAAGCTGGTTCCAGGCTAACGACACTGAGCCCTAAGAACCGACTTCTCTTCCCAGGATGGCAGCAACTCATCCCAACATTAGAATGTTATCAAGGAAGGGATTTCTTCTGACAACTCAGGTAGACACAGGAAATAGCTTTCCGATACGGCGTGAATTCATTTAAGTGTCAACCATGTTCCAAATAGCATTTGGCTGCTGATGTTCAAATGAGAACATTTCAGTTTTGTTATTGCTCTGCTTGTCCCTTTTTGCCTAAGGTGGCCTTTTACCTATAAATGGATAATGATTTCCAGGCCCCATGTTTTAAGAGGTGAGAAAAATCTACAGTTTATGCAAAGTGATTTAAACTTCTGTTAGAACTAATGTTTGCTATTTTATACAGCTGACAAGTAACTGTATCCATTTGCGGTCATACGTTATTCTGTAATCTGCCTGTGCTTATGCCAATTTCCAGTTTGGAGATTTTTAAAGTCCTGGAAAGTAGGGGCTAGGTTTTACTTCCTTAGGATCCCCCCAAGACCTAAATCAGTGTTTTATACCAACTGATTTTTCAACGTTCTTTTTGTTAAGAGACTCTATTACAGAGCCTATTCTTCATGTAACCACCTCTGCTAACTTTTAGTAAATTTCCTCTAGCAAAGGTTCAGGAAAGAGAAACAATCCACCTGGAAGCAAATGACTACTAAAAACAGCACCAAGTACATTGGAATAAAGAAAATTTATGACTTGATCAGCTTATTCTGGCAGGAACATGTTTGAATGAATTATACCACATATTCTGATTTCTCTAAAAATAAACTGAAAATGGCTGGCTGTTGAATTTAGACACCATTCCTCCCTTAACTATTTAGTTCTCATTATGGATATTGGTGAGAAAAAAAAATGTCAGCTGGGTATAATGAAAATAGTATGACTTAAGGAAACAAGATGGTGGTTCCAAAGCATGTTTCTGGATGACAAAAAAAAAAAAGTGTTTTAAATATTCAAACTTAGGCTAAAGGCTGAAAAGAGAGAAATGATGCATTCATACAAATGAAGATTTAACATACAGAATGTGGTAGGGGAAGAAGGATTGGAAGGGGCTTTTGAGGAGACCAAACCAAGGGGAGGGCTGTGAGGGTGGCTGGGTTAGAACCACAGATCCTGACGCAGACAAAACCAAGGCCAGAGAACAGGGGAAACCACAAGACAGTTTCAGGTTATAAGGGATATTTTCCTAATTGCAGGACTCTACCACAAGGTGGCAAACGTGTAGAAAAAAGGATAAATCCAGCTCTAGGAAAGAACTGCCCAATACTATTTCAGTGTGTAGGAAACATGTCACTGACCGCAATATGATACACGTCCTTTAAACCTGGAAATGAAGAAAATACTGTACTTGGTATCTACTGGCTGTAGAAAAAGTAATACAGAAAAGTCATAGACAAATCGTCTTACTGTTCCAGTGACTGACCATGTTATACCCATTTGTTTCCTATCAAGTTTTAGGACGCCTCTTTCTTGGGGTGTGAGGGTGTTTATTTTGCCAATGTAGATGACAACAGAAAGGCGCCTATGTTAAAACTTAATTATTAGGAGAGAAACATAGCTTTCCTGAGAGAAAAAAGTCACTTGAAATGGTTTCACCAAAGAAGGAGAAAGCTCTTGAGAAGCTTAAGAAACATTACTTAGTAGTAAAACCTAGCAGAGGAGAGTTACAAACCCAATTCAATGATTAACCACTTCCCCCGGCTGCTGTTCGTTCCGAAAAGTCAAACTGGCTATTTTCAGTGCATATGAAGCCATCATGAAGTGAAACCAACGATTTTAGGGATAAAACCCTGCCATAGCCAAAACGGTGACAAGGAATAACACAGTGAAAATACAAAGGTGAAGTAAAATTTTAGACTTTCCCTGGATGATACTCTCTATATTTCTAAGGTGATGAATGACTCCTAGAGAGAATCTAATTAAGGAAGAGAAGCATATGACTCATTTAATTAATAGCATAACACCCTTTTCAGCTCTGGAAGACAGAAAAGACAAAGCTGTACATTTTAATAAATCCCACATACTCAAGCGATTTCTGCTTTTAAAATGTTGCCAAAGGCCAGTACCCTGTCCAAAAGAATGTTGCTACCTTATGGATTTACTGCAGATTTATGTATTTTGCTTTGAATATAAAGAGGCAAGAGTTTGAAACGATTTTGCTGTAAAGAGAATCCCTGGAAAGGGGCCACACATAATCAGATTGTGTTTTTAGTATCGAATTCTGGATTCTCTGTGATTGGAGTTTGGTTTAAAATATTTATGTATTCAAAACATTGTATTTTAAACTATATTTTACCTTTATCGCAACCAGCTTAAAACTAAGTTACGTCCTTCACTGAAGAATAATGGTGCCAGGCAGAGTCATGCACAGCGTGCAATGTCATCTGCATGGGGAAGCTTTGCTTCCGCCTAGCTTCCTGCCCGCCCCAACACTAACCCACTCAGTCTTACGTCTGCTCAGACGTGTACGTGATTAGAAAATAAAAAAAGCAATAAACTACCTATTGGCACAGAAGGTCAAGCTACAGAGCCCAGAAGTAATACTTAGTAACAGTGAGCCTAGGTTTCCCCACAGGTAAAAGAGGGACAGCATATCTCCCTCATAGGGTAATTGTAAGGTGTAAATAAGATAAAAAGCATAGAACCTGGAGCCTAGCACGCAGTAGGTGCACAACGATCGGTCTCATCCCAAACCTGCTTTTATTATCTATGACTGGCTCCCCCAGCTTCTAGTCACCTGTGCCCTTCCCATCCTTTCCCCTCCTGCTGCTCCCCTCCAGCTATATGATCCAGATACTTCTACTTCTTTGGCATGTCCAAAGCATCGGGGGAAAAAACTGACGATGTCTGTCCGTAAGTTTTAAATTCATTGCTATCCTGCTAATTCACAAACATTGTATACTCTTTAGCAAATACAAAACCTATCTAGGTAAAATCATGATTTTTCTATAGGATGATTTTTAAGAGTAATGTACTCAGTTCCTGAATATTGTAAAATTGAGGGCAAAAAGCTCTTACTCTAAATTTTCTTGAAAGCTTAATATTAATAATTTAGAAAACAGGATTGGAGGGTGTTCCCTTCAGCAATGACACTCATAAAGAGTTACTTTATGAATAACACATCATGGGGATGGTTAGCTGATCCATGGTTCATTATTTACATATGTATTTTAAAACTAAAGCTCCCTTTGACTTTAACATTAAATACGCTAGCAGCATCTAGGGTAATCCTTTAGGCCAAAGAATTCTTAAAAGTGGGTTTCATAGCAACACAGGCTTTGGATCTCATCACTAAAAATTAAAGAATAACATGAACATTAGTTCTCCCCAATAAAATATTTTAGACAGATACATATATTTATAGAAACAGAGATAAATAAAAGCTAACCATAATTTAGGCTTCATTCCCCTACTAAAACTGCTTAGCTTATATTAAACTGCTATTTCTTTGTTTCACCTACCATTCCCGGGCGAGCTTCTTATAAGCCTTTTTAATATCAGCCTGACTGGCTGTTCGGCTGACCCCTAGGACTCTGTATGGGTCAAAATCCAACGCAGACAGAATTTGCAGGATCAGAACCAGAACTATCAAGAACTGCCAGGAAATGCTCAACTTTTTCACTTCCATTTCTCTTCCTTTCCAGAGCTGAAATGATCGAAGAGGCAGTAAGTTTCAGTGGTAGAAACCTGGACAGTCTTGCTTTTTAGATAAAGGGATAAGATATATAGATGAAAAATAAAACAAACAAACTCTATTTGGCAGGAAAAGTGTCAATCTGTTTGACCGGGTCTTTTAAAATCAACAATCTTGCTACTATTTTTGAATATATCATACATAAGAACTATAATAGATGAAAGGATGAGCAGTAAGAATTAACAGCAACTTTCCAGACTCCTTGGATTAGAAAAGCTCTAGAAATGACTGAAAATGAATGAGATGAAGAAATAATAAGCAAATGTGGGAAAACATACATAGGAAAATCAAGGCAACTACATCTTAAATACACTGTTTTACTTATTCTGACAATAATACTTTAAATTTAAAAATACGTGGCTTAAGAACACTTCACTGAGTACAGGCTAAATAAATTCATGAGATTGTAAGATTTGCCAGGTGCAAAACTATGAAATTCAATAGCTGTGACATTCTTGGGGTTAAATAAGTACAAGTAGGAAAGTGATATACTCTAAAAAAACAAAAACGGTTATGACATTGTGTACCCCAATTCTATTCTCACCACACCCACTGGACCAAGAAAATAGGGACAATGCTCTTTAACCATGAGCAATATGGTTATTATAAATGGAGACCAAAGATGAGGAAAAACTGGGGAGAAAAAATTTAGTTTTCCACGTGAAGGGAGATTAATGGCAAAGGCTGTGGACCATGCAGGGTCTTCAAATGTTAAAGATCCATGTCTGGTGAGTGCAGTAACTGAATTCACTGTGGGTTCAGAAATAATCCTGGTTGGTTAATGAACAAGGTAGTGCTGTATTGCACGGACATTTACAGTACAGAATTATGACCTTTGTGCTAACATACGGTGAATTTTCAAGGGTCATATTTATCTTGACTTTTCATGAATTACTAAAGTTTTAAGGTTCAAGTGTCTAATGCGACACCTTACTTAAGGAAGGCAAAGCTGTAACAGCGGTGGATTTTGACAAGCGGAAGTCTAAACTGTGTGGGAATGCTCGCGAAATTGACTCATTTGATTTCCAATTTTTAGGACTGCATGCATGCTGAACAAAAATCCTAAAACAATTCAGTTTCTTCCTTGTTAAGGCAACCTATAACCTATTCTGCCCTATAAAACACGTACAGAGCGCTAAAACTCGGGAAGGTGAGGTAGCTACTGGTTAAGCACACAGGCTCTGGAAACAGAGTCATATTGGGATCTGTCCTCCACCACTTTATGACCTTGGGCAAGTTAACTTAAACTTGCTAAGCCTCAGTGTCATTCATAAATGGAGGTGAATAATACCACCTTGAAAGGATCAGCAAGGAGGTTAAATGTATGTAAAGGATTTACTGAACATAGGGTCAACAGTCAGAAAGTGATACTTATTATTTTTTCTATCACGCAGTGCAATCGCTGCCTTATTCCACCGTGTCAGTCGCCTCCAGTGAGCAGCCCAAGAGGCGGGGGGGCTGTGAAGTTCTTTGGCTGGCAGTCTCGAGCTCGACTGTGCCAGCCTCGGGGCAGGAAACCACCTGCCCAACAGGTAGGCTACCGCCCGCGGGCAGTATCCCCTGATCAGAGCAGCGGCTCCAGGAGGCACGCTCCAGGTCTGAGCTCCCGCCGGAGGTCGCAACCCTCCAAGAGACGGCCGCCTTCCCCGCCGCCCACCGAGAGCCCTGGGCCGGGCCCTGCCGGCTCCCGGTTTTCCCCGGGTCCGGGGGAACCGAGAACGAGGAGGAACTGACGGGAGATCCCCGAGCCTGCCCGGCCCCGCCGCGTCCGCGGCTCCGCGCGTCACGCCGGGAAGGAGTTACCGGGAAAGGGCACCGGCCCAACCGGCTGCAGCGTCCGTGCTCCAGTGAGTCCGCCGGGCCGGAAGCCTCCGCTCCGCACCAGCGCTAGCCTGGACCTCGGGAGGGGAGAGGGGCGGGGACGAACGGGAGGGGTCACGTGACACTTAAAGGCTCGGCTCACCGAAGGCGCGGACTGAACGGGTCGAGGACTTCTACTTTGCGAATCTGTTTTGACCCTTGCTACCTGCCGTCTGCGCGTGGACCTGGCGCGGTTGCCATAGGAACGAGGCGCGCTCTTTGGCTGGATCCAAAGGGATGATCGTGACCAAAGAGGCCAAAACGTGCCTCCTAGAGAGGCAAAGTCGCGATGCATGATGGGATGCCCCAAAGACTTTCGCGATTCAGGGAGGAGTTTCCACTTGTACCAGGAGATGGCCCTCGTCTAGTAACAGTTGCTAGGGTGGGGAAGCAATCGCTGGTCCCTGTTTTCTTTAACCCTATTCATAGAATCCTAGAGCGTCGGAGTTGGACGGGACCTTAGGGAACCGTTCTAGTCCGACTGCTCCTTATACCGATGGCGAGACTGAGGCCCAGAGAGGGGCAGGGACTTGCCCAAGGCCTAGAGAATCCAGGACTCCTAAACTTACTTACCAAAGCGAGCTCCGCCATAGAATGTGCCAGGGACTGCCCTCAGCACGGGAAAGGGATGCGTGTGTGTGGCGGGGAGGGAGGGGGAAAGTCACAGGTGAATGAGGTACACTTTCATTGAGCCAATGATATAGGTTCCTTGGGGATATAAAGAAAGAGATTTCATATCCCCCCCGCTCTGTTTTTATTATTTAAAAAAAATTTCCTTTGCATTTATCACCAACACACTGTATCCTTTATTTCTTTATATTGTTCATCGTCTGTCTCCTCCCACTGGAATGTAAGCTTCTAAGCGCAGGGCCTTCTGTTTTGTTCACCTGGATCTTCTCGGACCTCAGCACAGACAGGATCTTAATAAATATTTGTGGAATAAATGAATGAATGGGGCTGAGGTTTTGATGCTCAGGAGAATGGATTCTAAGGTGGACTTGAGTCAGGTTCCGGTTTAAATTTTGGCTGCCTTGTGCCACTTACTACCTCTGGGACCTTGAACGGAGACCACTTCCTTGAGCCCCATCTGCAAGATGGGGGAAAAGAACACTTTTTGGTATTCCTTTGGTAGGACTGTAGTCAAGGACAAGTGAGATAACGCAATGTAAAGTGACTAGCTCAATGGCTGAGGCTTCGCAAATGCTCAATAAACAGGAGCAATTATTTTTGAAATGTGGAAGTGAGCTGTACAAATTGGGAGTTCAGATTAGATTTCTGCCAGTTTTTTTTTTTCTTCCTTGTAGGAGGTGCTAGGGTGGGAGGGAGGGAAGAGGGAGATTTAAGACCGTGAAATGTGGGCTTGGTTGGGTGAGACAGGAGAGTTCAGAACAGTAAACGACGACATCTGGGCACGGGGCGGGGGCAAGAGAATTACGGTTTTATTACCGGCGGGGAGGGGGCTAGAGGACACCATAGCCGGGAGGGGCTTGAATGGGGCGGGACAGACCATGGCATGGGTGTCCCTCTTACCAGCAGTGTGACCGCCTCCAAGTTTTTGTAAAAGCCGAGTGGCCGTGCCTTCTTGCTAGAGATTGGCGGCGCGGACTAGGAGTGCGCTCTGGGGGAGGGGCGGTGACTCGGAGTGAGCCCTGGGGGCGGAGCAGCGACGCGGGGGTGTGTCCTGGGGGCGGGGCGGCGACGCGGGGTGTGTCCCGGGGGCGGGGCGCGGAGGCAGAGCCGCTAGGGCGGAGGTGG